GAGACAGTGAGGAAGAAAGGACAAACATGGTTGGATAGTGAAAGATTGAGAAATGGAGGCAAAGAAGGAAAAGGAAATCTTTTAAAGCTAAATGTGGTGCATTATCAACTAGAATTTAAGGGTGCTAAGAAATAGGTCCTTTGGGTCAACTAGCATGACTAGTTTGGGGACTACCTTACTTTGACATGGTGCGTCTCATGTAGACCGAGTAGAAAGTAAAGTTAGTGATATAAGGAAACACCAGAGCCTCAGGAGGCTGGGAGGATCTGCTGAAGTAATTTCATTCATTGGCTCTAACAGGGATTGTCAGAAGCCCAAGTCAAAACAGGTTTAAATACACAATCCCAGAAGTAGGTAATGATTGGGTAAATATGGTGACATAAGCCAGCTACCAACCTCCAGACTGATAGAGGACAATATGATGTCAGAACAGAACTGCTACCTGGGGTAATATGCCAGGGCCAAGAAGGATATCTAAAATAGAAAACAAGCCAAGGGGCAGGTGAGAAGGCTTACTGGGTAAAGGTGCCTGCTGCCAAGCGTGGTGACCCGAATTCAATCCTTGGAACCTACATGGTGGAACAAGAGAACCAATTCCCACAAGCTGTCTTCTGTTTTCCAAACAGGCAACATGGCATGTGGGCTTCTGTCTAATCCCCCACCCACAGCCCCATGGAGGTGAGGGAAAAGAAACAACCTGAAAGGGAGAGAGTAGGGAACAGATGCTACCTGAGGGAGGTGGAAAAAGTGGGAGTAACTGGCAGGGAGGAGAGGAGGGAGGGACATGCAAGGGACCATGGTGTGGCGGAGGGAGGAAAATCAGGAATGGAAAGATGGCAGGAGTCAAGAGATATTGGGGGGAAGGGTGGGAATAGTGGGGGCACTGTAACTAGGAAGGGAGGGAGGAAGGAGGCCAGGTGGGAGACAAAAGAATAGAGATGAGTGAGACTAGGAGCTGCTTGGAAGGGAACGCAGTGCAAGACAGAAGAGACCTCCCTTACAGCAACAAACATGACTTACTAATCAAAGTAGCTTCTTTTTGCAACAGATGGAGGCTGCTGCAGAGTTGCACATCTGGTCAGGCACAGAGAACATACACCTGGGAGATGCCCAGTACTAGGTGACACATCTGCAATTGAATCTCTCCAACCACGGCTCAAGGAACATAGCAGAATAAGGAAGACAGATAGGGCTAATGCACCTCTCAGATCTCGCCAATGTGGCCTCCATACACATCAGAGTGCGTTACACACAGAAGGCCTCAACTGGCCAAGTTTTGGAGAAGAAAAGACTGTAGGGTATAAAATGGGACTCTTACGGAACTTCACCTCCCACAGCTCAGGGACCATTGCTGAAGGAGGTGGAAAGATTGTAAGAGCCAGGGCTGGTTCATGAATGTATGAGGTGGAGGCTTCCAGGCCAATGGAGGCCTGGTCATGTGTGTCTGTGGCAGTGGTGGCATCCAACGTGGAACATATGGGAGCTCAATTAAACAAGGTCCCAAAGGGGAGGTGAGAAATAGGTGGCAGACCAGCACTAGATTGAGAACTATTTGAGACTGGTTGCTGCTGGGTGAGGGAGAGTATGACTTACATAGGACCACTGGATGATCTGCCTAGACTCCAGTGGACACATTTACACTGAAGGACATTTGGGTACAAGCACCTGAATGAACAGGACTCAGCATGTATGGCAGGGTGCATATGGTTTTCTGGGGGGGTGGGCGTGGATTGAGGAGGGGGTCTGGATGTGAGTTGGAAATATAATGTGAAATTTTAAAAGCTCAGTAAAAAAAGAAAGCAGTCTTATTACCTGTAAGCAAACATCTCATGAGAAGCCTCCCTTCGCCCCCTATCTAAGAAATGGATCTTACCTATAGATGGCAGTATTTATATGACAGAACTCTAGGTCCCAATTGAGCTGAACACCCTGTTGAAGTTGGTCTAATTGAATATTCCTTTGAAATACAATTTGCCCACTCACTGAGAATCTACTCAAATGTCTGAATCCTTGGGATGAATACTTTGATGGAATTTTAATCAGTTAGCTGTGCTTGACCACCACATGTATTCAACAAAGGCAAGCAAATGAATTGGTTGAAGATAATAGAACAGTTCCAGTGAAATAAATAGCAACAAAAGACCAAAGAGGGAAATAGCAAGGTCATTCCTGACTTTATTTGCTCATTCTTCAGCTCATTGTGAGACTCAGTTACATTCCTTAATCTTGAGTGCACTGAGATAAACCTTCCCAAAACATCCTCTTTTGTTTAAGTGAGTTAACATGCATAGCAGTATTATATCCAGATAACCTTAACTAAGCTGGCATAAAGGAAGCCCACGCCCTGGCATGGTACCTCTGAGGTATTGGCACCCTAAAGTGAATGCATGTTCTGGAAGTAGAAATTGTGGGTGGTTTAAATACTGGATATAATACTAAGTGTCTTCCAAAAATTATAGTCACTAATGGTTAATAAATCAAATGAGCATAATCCTAACCCTAATTTCTTTGCCATGAATTATGGAAAATAGTTTCTAAAGATAGAAAATATGAAGCTGTAAACTTAAAGTAAAAGGGACAGTTTTATCATTAACTGGATGAAAGGCATTAAGTTGCACAGACTTCAATGTGATCATTCAGTGGGATGGAGTAGAGACTGTTTAATCATGGTGTCTTATAAGAACCTTTGCTCACACCACCAGCTAGGATAACCTCCCTGTCTCAAAATCCTTAATGACATCTGCAAATTCTGTTTTTCTATAGAATGTTCATCTTGGGGGAAGGACATTCTTTGCTCTACTGAAATCTGTTTTTCACTTGTAACATCACTCACTTGTGCCCTTTTCTTTTTCCTTGATTGACTGGAAGGAAATTCAAAAATTCTAATAGATTTCTTATGGGATTATTTTCTATATTCCATTATTTTTTCCTGTTGTTCCCTGTTTTCAATTCCAGTGACTTCTGTCCTCTTATTTTGCTCCTTCTACTTTCTTTACACTTGCACTGTTTTTCTTTCTCTAGTTTCCTAAAGAGTATGCTTGGATTATTGATTTTAGATATTTTTTCTAATGCACTCATCTACTGTTATCAGTTTCTCTATAAATACTGTGTTAACAATACACTGTACATTTCAGTGAATTGTATTTTCATTCTTATCTTTATTTTACATGTATGAGGTTTTACCTGCATGTATGTATGTAGGTGCACAACATGTGTGATGTGTCTCCAGAGACCATAGAGGCTGTCAGATCCCCTGGACCTGAAGTTATAGACAGTTGTTAGCCGCCACATGGGTGCTGGAAACAAAGAAGCCACTGTTCTTAATCCATGATCCATTTTTCCAACTTTCATTTTAATTTTGTTCAAACTATTTTCAAGTTTTTTTTGAGACTTCAGTCCCCATGTATTATTTAGAAATGTCATTTTTAATCTTCAAATATTCTGAGATTGCACCACTATTTCTGTTTTTAATTTGAAGCTTGATTCTATTGTGATTTGTGTGATTTACACTCTTTCAAATTTGTTCAGATATGTGCTATGTCCCATAATGTGCTCTATCTTGGAGAATATCCCATTTGAACATAAGAAGAATGCTTATTACGTACCTGAATGAAATATTCTCTCTCTCTCTCTCTCTCTCTCTCTCTCTCTCTTTCTCTCCCTCTCTCTCTCTCCCCCTCGCTCTCCAAACCCAGGATTCTTTAGAATCCTTTATATAGCCTAGGCTAGCCCCAAGCTCACAGCAATTCTCCTGTCTCAGCCTCTTGAACACTGGGATTACAGATGTGTTCCACCACACCCAGCCTAGGTACAATATTTTCTAAATGTCAAGCAGAAGAAGATGCCTGATAGTGCTGATCAAGTTAGCAATGTCTTTTCAACCATTTTATCTCCTTGATCAATCAACTGCTAAAAGAATAAAATGTTAAAGTCTAGATAAACGTGGTTCCTAACTTAGAATGGTTGAGCTAATGGTGTTTTAACTTTTTAAGGATGCAAATTTAATATACATTCATTAGAAAACATATGTTGGACTTTGAATTTTAATCTTTTCCTGAGCTGCTAATATTGTATGATACTCTAATGATGCTTAGCAGGGGCAAGAAAGCTGCATTTCCCAGTGAGCCATATAGTGATGACAGAAAACTATTTTAAAAACATGTTTTCCCACTAACTTCCGATATGTGGTAGGTTAGATGTAGTAAAGGCATCTTGACTTATTATATTACCAACTGACAGTGGATTCAGCAGGAGTAACTCCATCATAGATCAAAGAAAGTCTGTGTAGCAGTAGATTTTTCTGTCGCACTGTAGTCTCATAAGTTAATACCTCATGGACTTGAAGTTCTGAGGCAGATTGAACACTTTCAACATTTTTAATGAATGCCCCCTTTGATTGTTGAAAGTATTCTGTTTTCTGAAATCTGTTTTGCTTAAATTTAACATGGATATTCTAATATTTTTAATTTTTACTAATGTTGCTATAGTTTATCTTTCTCCATCTCCTTATTTATAACATATGAATTGAAATTGTTATATATGTTTTGCTGCTTTTTAATTATGTTAATTATATGTAAGGAGCTTAATTATGCCATTATTATATAAATATATAGTCATATCATCTCGCATTACCCTTGGTTGTCTCCTTTTCACTCTTGTTGATTCCCTTCCTTGACCCTATTAGCCCCCCTTCTACTTTCATCTGATGTGTGTGTGTGTGTGTGTGTGTGTGTGTGTGTGACACAGTGAGTTTAATTAGGGTTGTTTCATAGCATCATGGGTGAGGGATCACTCATAGGAGGCTACACTATTGAAGAAAGTGTCTCTTTCTCCCCCAACACGTGAGGTAGGGCCATCAAAAATTAATTGATTCTCTTTCCTCTAACTGGTATATTAGTCCATTTACTATAAGAATAAAATACAGAAGCATATGAATATAAATGACATATTTTTATTATTTCTGTCCGAGAACTTAGGCCATAATAAACAGAAGAGCCTGAAATGAGAGTGAGGAAGAGAAGAGAAAAGGGGAAGATTAGAGAGAGGGGTTAGATTTGTAGTATGGGGAGACTGCTCCTTATATGGGTAAATATTCACACTTGAACTCTTGATCATGGTGAACTACATAGTATATGCAGGCTGCCAGCTCCCTGCTCTAGCCTTTGAACTTGTAGACACAGGGTAACTCCTTGTTGTAATAATCTGTCCACTTCAGAAATCCTGCAGACACAGAAGTTGTAAAAATGAATGGGGCAGGTATATCATCTAAACTCAATGAAGGGGAATCTCTGACGTGGTCCAGATACCAAGTCTCACCCTAATCTTCACCAGTGTCTCACTCCAGGAGGAAGAGACATGAAAGCATGAGAAAGGACAGGCCCACACTGAATTTTCTAGCTCAGAGGATACCCAGAAGATAACGTACAAGAACAGGGGAATGGGAGTGGGAAACATCGGGGAGGGAAGGCTGTCTGTTTCTTACCTGAGGCATATGACATGGTTCCACAGTAACTGGGGTCTGAGGCAATGGAAGGATTCCTCTCCCAGTTGTAATTCATCACATCAGCGTTACTCCATTCCCATCCACCTCCATCGGCCCCTTAGAAGAGACAGCCATGTAAAAGGAATAGCTGTTGAAACTCTTTTGCATGATCTCTAAGCAGAAGCAGCTGATACCCACATGCAGCCTCATATAATTGATCTATATCTTCACGTGCTTCCCAGAGCTCACTCTACTTTGAAGTTTAACCTTAACATATACCTTCTATTACCAGAGCACTGCCAATAATCACAGCTCTTTACACTAACAAAAATAATATGTCCATGAATGAGCATGGTGAAATATGCTTTTATAAATTACTCAGAACCTCATGCATCATAGGAATCATATAAAGAAAAAATATGGATCTGTTTCTCATTTAGGATTCTCTTAGAATTACAGGCACAGACTCCCTGAATCCCTCAGAGAATATTCCCAAGGCTTCTTATGGGAACTTTGTAAAAGTTGACAACAGGCACAAAAACTTCACCTGAAGACCAGGGATAGCTATAGAGCTCAGTTCTTCAGCAAGCACCAAGGATTTCCCTTTACCCAGATTGTAATATAGAATCTGAGCTCTGCATATCATTTGGGTTCTTCTCATGGAGACAAAGAGAGTGTGCCTGGGGTACAACAGCCCCTTGAGAGAATACAGAGGGGAGAAGATGGATTCTTACCAGAGTGGGGTCATGAAGCCCAATCCAGACATATTGGTAGCTGATTGCACTCCTTTTCACTAGGGAAGACACAAAAGAAGCCTCAGCTGCACTGAGCACAAACACGGGTTGTCCTGAAGGCCACTTCTGGTAGGCCAATCAGGGCAAGACAGAATGAGACACAGACTTTGACCTTGTTGCAGAATGGCAGGGTAAATATAGATGAGTAGGGTGGATTGCATGAAAGAGAGGATGTTAAGTCTGATTCCCAAGGAACCAGGGAAACTGGACACCTCTTTCTCTGTAACTGAACAAGTATGGTTGCCCTTGCCCCCCCCCCCGACACACACCTCTCAGCACTCACATCTGCATCAAACCAGGATTTGGGAATTTTAAACAAGGCATAACAGTAGGATCCATAGGCCTGGGAGCCCATGGGGCAACTGATACGTGGAGAAGGTGCTTCTTTCTGAGTGTCTTCACCTGGAATGGAGAGAGACAGAGAGGGGTGTGGGATAAAATGAGAAACGATTAGATGGCAAACATTTTTAGGCCTGTCTGATGGGATTAAGTCCAGAACATTGACTATCTCACATTTTTCTCTCTTTCAGGCATTCTTGATCTAGGTGGATTTTATGAGAAATCTCTTTATTTTGTACTTCTCTCCTCTTCTGTTATTCATGGATCCTCCATCCTGGGGCTGACAGTTCCTGTGCTGCCTTGTCCAAACCTGTGTGTTCTCTAAAATTCTTCACTAACTTGTAAAACTTTCTTTCTTCAGTCCTCCAACACAGACTAAAAGTCCCTAACTGAATGGTAAAACCTCTCATCCTGTTGATCGATCACTGGGCTACCTCCCACCATTAGTGACCTTGGGGAAGGCAGGATGATGGAAGGGTTGCAGGGAGACTTCCTCCATGGAGTACTCTTCATCGTTTCCATAGGGGACTTTCAGGACCTTTCTCTGCATCTTGGCTCTGAATACTCTGAATACTCTGAAGAGGAGACCCAGTGTTAGAGGTCTAGAAACATTACCTTGCACCTGAGACAGGAGCATCAGACAGGAAAGCAGCATCCAGGACATTCTGGACAGCACCATGCCAGGCAGCATTTTGTATGTGAGTGAGAAGCATCAGTCACTGAGGGAGTGTGATCACAGAGGACATTTAGAGAGAACAGTCCCTTCCCTTCTCCTTTGTCTAGCTCGGAAAGCATACACTAATCTTGGTCCCAACCCTTTTTTTCTGTGGTTCTCGAATTAAGTAAAGTATCCCTGTTCTTCTCTTTCCTGAAAGCTCCCCACAGCGTTTGATGATTTTCAGATCCCTGTTTTCGGTGAGAATGAAGACTCTTGTGAGTCTGCAAGGTTCTCACCCTCTTTCAGCTCCCACTTACCTGTCTTGTAGAAACCTGGGATGGTCTGTCAGGACAAAAATGACTGAGCTTTTATAACAGGATCTGAAGGAGAGGCAGTGAAGTGAGTAACTGGAATGCCTAGGCAGATTGGGGCAGTGGGCAGTATTTGGCATAAATTCTAGGAGATTCCCAGCAAAAGCAGGAGACTCTTCCTGGCAACGACTGGGAATTGCCACACATGTGACCTCTTTCCTGTCACCAAGTCAACTTTGTCTTGGGATGTGGGTGAAGTTTGAACTTTCCCCACCTTCTCCCATCCATCCTGTTCTGGCAAACTTAAAAGAGTGATAACAGCTTTGGCATACAAATTATGCTGTTACTGAGTTCTGAAAATCCTAAAGCCTTCATTTACTAAGGAAAATAAATATTAGCAGTTTACTTTTGATGAAACTGGAAGGACTTACTCCTGTAGATGTGTTTCTTTATACTTTGTTTTGTAAAGTTTAAAACGTTAATAATAAAAAATGTGATTAGCTAGAAATTGGTACTACTAATAAGGATGATATGTTAGTTGAAGCAAAGGAAAATTTGAAGCCAAGAAGAAAAATAGTGGATACAAGTCATTGTGTGAACTTTGTAGCAATATTTGAATGAAGCTTGGCAGTAATCACCTGAGTTAATAGTTTAGCTAGGACTTCAAGTAAAGGAAGCTAAATGGAATTGCTCTCCTGCTACCTCTATGTGGGGAAACTGAGAAATAGCATCTCGGTTTACTGTTATTCTGAGTTGTCAACTTTAATATTAATATTTTAATATTTTAGAGAAGCATCATCAGATTTTAGTCAGACAATCCTGAGAGATTTTAGATACTTTCAGAATGGCTTGGAAATTGGACTTTACTTACTTACAATAAAATGTTCTATTTTCCCTTTTTTGTGATCATGCTCACATTTGAACTTGCGGGGTCAAAGAAATGGTGGGTAAGTTATGTGTGTATTAGCATTAATTAAGCCATTATCATTCTGACTGTCATATCCATGTTCATGCAAGTAGGCAGAAGATGTTTTCACTTTTAAAAATGCCCTTGAAATAGATTAAACAGTGAGACTAATGAACATTAATAAGCCTCATCCCATAAACATATAATTTAAACATTTTTATTACATTTCGCTCATTTATTTACTTATTATTTATTTATTTACTTTGTGTGTGTGTGTGTGTGTTTGTGTGTGTGTGTATGCACATGCACAAGCTTGCACTATGGTATGCAAGTGGAGGTCAGAAGACAACCTGCAAGAATTGGTTTTCCCTCTACCCTATGGGTCCTACATGATCAAGCTTAAATTGGGACAATACTTTTTTTAACCTGATGAGGCATCTCACTGGCTGGAACACATACTTTTAATTGTTCTGTATGTAGACATGGCAATGTCTTGTCACCAAAGAACCATGGTTGTACTGAGGAAAATGAGGCTGTCTTCCAATATTTTGATGCAACAGTATTTTTCTTTGAAAAGTGACATATATAATTCAGTGTTTTTAGAATATGTGAGTGTTTTAAGAAGTTTCTTCAAAAATAATCAAATGAGATTGGTAAGGTTTTTTAGTTTAGTTTTTAAAGACAGTTTCCTTGTAGCCCCAGCTGGCCTGGCACTCACTATGTATACCAGACTGGTGTCAGTTATACAGAGATCCACCTGCCTTTGCCTCTTGAGTTCTGAGACAAAAGGCATGTGCCACTGTGCCTGGCTGATTGGTAAGTTTTTAAAATTCCTGTTTTAATGTTTAAATGTCTAGTATTATAAACATCGTTAACATGTGGATAACAATAGCTCTTTTGGATTTTTGATAATTAAGTGTGCAAAAGTTCTCTGAAATGAAAATAGTTTGAGAAACTCTAAATATTGTTTGTCTACTAATTTCAAGGAAATCAGATGGAAGCAGGTTTTATGTTATATCAGCACAGAGATGCAAACAGGAAAACTATTATTCCAACAATAAATTAAGGTAATAAGTTGATATAATACTCAGTATCTGAGAGAAATATGTGGCAAGTCCAATATGTAAAATACATTTAGATTCTAATCATGAAAAAAGTCAGTGGAGAAGTAATAATTATGAGAATACTGAGTAAACTGTATTTGACAGAGTTAAAGGGTATGTTTTTACATGTCAACATGGTTATTTTTATTTATTATGTGAAATGCCCTTATCACTTAAGGATTAATATAAAATTAAATATTAAAAGTGAATTTTTTTGATAATTTTCTCCAATATACTCCACTATGTTAGCAGCAAAGCATTGCTTTATAGGGGGAACAAGAAGTGAAGAAACAATCATTATCATTTCTTAGAGACAAGGACATGAGGACTGTTGTTTTGTTCTGTTAGGACTTATCTAAAATTTGGATAAATGCTGGAAAAAAAGAAATGTTGGGAAGAAGAAAAATTATAGATTAATATGGGAAATAAATTTAAGGGCAAATTTTACTCAAGAACATATATGCATAATTCCTGAATGATATACCAAAGAAATCAAAGTCATTAATGTGCATGATAAATCAAGAGAAAGAATTAACTTCAGCAATGCCAGGATGGCTTTACTTTGGAGGAAACATTGTTAGTGTCACATTCAGAAATGTTCTTCTTTAAAAGAAGAAAAATTATATAAAATAATTAAGTAATTAAAAATATTTAGCAAAATTTAACCTTCATTAATGAATGATGAAAATTTCTGACACTCAAGATGTGAATAGATACTTTAATGTTATAAAGAAACCAACAAAGGCTCAAAATTAAAATACTAAAAATGAATTTTTTAAAAACCAGGAACACAAGTTTGATACCCTCTTGCTTCTATTCAACAATATCAAATTGCAGAAAGTACACTTAATCAAGAAAAGAGAAATTTAAAGAATTTTGAAAGTAAGTGGAGTTATTGTTATTTGTATATAATATGTCATTTCCATGAAAAGATACACTGAAGAATCTCCATATTAACTGTTGGAGCTAATGGGAGAATTTATTAAGCAAGAAAATATTGCTAACTTATAAATTCTAATTAAGCGCATATTTTAGCAGCAAAATTAGAAAAGGTATTTTTATGAAAGATATCATTTTTAACAGGAAGAAAAACACAAAGAACCTAGATATAGGGGCTAGGTGATGGCTCAGTCTGTAAAGTGCTTTCGATGTAAATTTGAAAACCTGAGTTCCATGGAAAAGTATCCATGGAAAAGCCAGGAGTGGCTGCACATGCCTATAATCCTAGCCATGGGGAGGTGATCAGGTTCAGTGAGAGATCCTGTCTCAAAATATAATGTGGAAAAGAATTAAGGAAAACACTTGCTGTCAACCTCTGATATTCATTCACGTGAGGTATACACATGTGTGCACACACAAGCACATACATAAACACAGAACCTAATTAGAGGGCTGGAAAGATGGCTCAGCAGGAAGGGGCCAAGTCAGGAAACCTGAGCTCAATCCTCAGAATCCATATGGTGGAAGGGGAGAACGAGCTCCCAAATGTTGTCCTTTCATCTGCACATATGCACACAGTTGTTCCTGTGTACACAGATACATAATGGATAAATAAAATGTAAAATGATATTTTCTTAAAAAGAGCCTATCATACAAAATCTTTTTTAATGTTTTTATTTTTTAAATTATTTTTATTTTTATTGAATTCTTGTGTATTTAATACAGAACATCTCAATCTTAATCATCTTTATACCTCCTTCCACATTGGCACCCTCCCATAGGCCCCACCCCAGAATTCATACATTCTTTCATTTGTTGTAAGGCCTATTGTGTCAAGTTAGTGTCCCCAGACATCCCTCAGTGCAAGTTCATCTACTGAAGCCTAGTCAGCCTATCTAGAGTCTCTCACTTTAGGAAGCTCATATTAAAAGAATAAAGGTTTCATGAATGTTTCTAATCTCCAAGACTTGAAAATATAAAGAAAGCTCTTATGTTTATATAGAAGATAACTCATGTAGAAGATAACTCAGTACCAAATAGAAGCTGACTCTCCATTGGCTGTCAGGGTTGTACAGTGATTTGTTGGTTATTTGATAAACTAGATTCAAACATCATAAAGAAAACAGAAGAGTAAAAGTAGTCAACAAATCACTGCAAACAAACAGATTTTTTATAAAGATTTATTTACTATAAAGTATGTGGTACATGGTTAGCATATTTTTTATTTATTTCTAAGCTTTTGAGCTCATTCCCTAAGAGGCTTTAAAAGAAATAATATTTTGGATAAAGGACTTAACATGGTAACTCATAGATCTATTTGAGCTAAATAAAAATAGGGAAATTGTCCTCGTGATGAACTTTAGACAAAAGTTTACTGAAAGAAAGACAGAAACAAAAAATTGAAGAAAGGAAGGGAGGGATGGAGGGAGGGAGGGAGGGAGGGAGGGAAGAACAGTAAGAAGAAAATAGCTCATATAATATAAATTCCCTTGAGAGATCTGATATTGCAGGTTAGCTAGGGTTATGAATTCAAAGTAACTTTGCTCCTTGGGACACACAATTGATGACCTGATGTAGGAACCATGGAGAAGGGATTTTCACTGCTCAGAGCACTGTGGGTAATGTCTAAGGCTTTCTATTTTTTACGTGCCTCTAATACTTTTTTCTTGTTTTCTACAGATAAATCTTCATTGCTTAGGGAAGAATTCAGACATTAATAATATTCCATTAAAACTTAAGGGATAACAAAGTTTTAGGACAGGAGCAAAGTGA